TGCTCATCGACGACAACAGAAGTGTTCACACAAACGATAATGTTTGATTAGGTTTTTTTGTTTGTTTTTTTTTTGGTGTTTTTTTTGGTTTTTTTTTGGTTTTTTTTTTTTAAGCAGATCACTAAAATGAACTGCTAAAAAGGTATTTGTGTTGTATTTTGTACTTTCAAAGAATGTATAAAATATTTGCCTCCTCTTACAGCCAAAGCAACTGTTTTGAAGTTCTCATATGTTCTTTTCTTTTTCCCCCAGGAACACAAACAGCTTCTACCTAAACTCCTCAAAAAAGTCACAGCGCAGAGTTAAGAAATTCTGAAAGCTCTGGGTGGAATAAAGCACTTTAATACTCTCAGCTGTAAATATTGACTAGGATTAGTTTTTAAATAGTATTACTTATGGCATTTATTTTGTCCTAACAGCTATTATTACTTTGGAGAGCTATGCTGCCACTTTTAATGACAGAAAACCTCAACCCTCATGCATGGGCTTGGATTCAGTTTTACCCTTGTGCAGTGCAGGGTTTGCTGTGTGATTCTGTGTTCTGTAACCAAGCAGTGAATGGGATAAGCACTCCAAACACTCACTGAAGAGGGGGGAAAAATCATTCCAATCACAATTGCATGGGGGGGAAATGTAAAAAAAATATTATAGAGCTAGCAAAGAGAAGTATTCTTTTCAACAAAACAGAGTAATATTCACCTTTATTTTAATGAATTTTTCTGGAATATACTAGCAAACCCTCTAGCCAATGTGTTAGGTAGACTAAACAGGACAAAAATATGTGGGTCCCTATTTTTTCACTGTACAAACAGTGCTCCAAAATACAAGCGTGAAGCTATACAAGCTGACAAGAATCTGGTGTGCTGAGGTTCTACTGTCAGGTACTTGAACTGGTTGGGAATGGAGGCTCAAAGGAAAAACAACAGATTTAACATCCAGGTAATGCATCCTAACTTGGAAGATTTAGAATACCATTTAGCCAGAAAAATCCACTTACAACTTAGTAGCAAAACATGAACTGATGTTTCCTTTCAGAACTCTTTTTGTTAAGAGCAGTTGGTTGCAACTCTTTCTACTCAGAACTGTCTTGGGGTTTTTTTTTTTCCCCTCAGGAGGGTGGCACATGAGCCCTAACAAAACACATTTGACTCAAACAGTCCAGTCAGTAGATTTTATTCTAAACAATTAAAGATTAATTTGAATTGCAAGGCAAAAGAAAAGGTAAGTCCTAAGCCAACAGTTACCTAATGAAAGCAAGTGAAACTCAGCAGCACTGAAAAGAATACCCAACAGAGACTAAATACAGCTTCAACTTATATTCATGGTCTGTCTAGAAATGTCTTTGATGTTAAACCTCATATGGCACACTTAGCATTTTTTATAATTCATTTCCTATGGAAACTAATGAGCTTAAGGGTGAAATTACCTCATTGAAAGTCAAAATGGAAGTGTGAAGAAAAGAAGGATGACCTGGAAAGCAGATTTAGAAGCAATCTTTGCATATTAAGCATTGCTGTGGGAAATAGTATAATTAGTTTTCTTCAGAACTTATTCCTTGGAATTGTATAAGTGGTATTTCAGCTCCCAAACATCATGCAGAAAGAATGTTAGATAAAATAGGTGGAAAAATGCAAAATCCTCCCATGTTCTTAAAATCAAGATTTTTTTTCCTAACTTTCAGTGACTGTTGACTTATTTTTAAGAGGGCAGACCATAAAAAATAAGGCTCCTTTCCAGCAGACTTCTAAGGGACCATAAGAAACCAGATTTTCAGAGGATAATTTGGAATAAGCATTCACTTCCCAAATTCCTAACTCCTTTTACTTGAATCAACTTATTTCCCTAAGCTCTTGCTGCAGGCTAAGCCATCTGCCCCACACAGTTCTACTGAAGACCAAAAATTGGTACCAAATGCATGTGTTTTGTTTGCTGAATGAAAGAACTAATGATTAACCTTGGACTGTCAAACACCAAGTTTTTCCTGTTAAATACAATGAAAACAGTTTCAGAGTTCAAGCAGAAATTATCCTGTAGAGTTCAAGTACCTGAGCCACTCCAAGGGCTCTAGGAGCTGCCAGTGGCCAAACATTTCTTCCCCTCAGTCGCACCAACATTTTTCTTTATTCTTTATAGAGAAAGTGCTTGGAAGAGCTTTGGCTGTGCCAGACCTGATCTCTCAATAGTGCATAAATCCCAAAGCAGCAGCTTCCTCAAACTAAATTAGTTACAAGTCATTTGTGGACATAATGGTGTATAAAACATTTAAATCCACCACTGCAAGTGCAGGGCCAGCCAAAATTACCAGTTTTAAAGGCTATCAGCTCATCTTTCTGGTGCATGGAACAAGACTGTGTTTTCAATTTTACAATACTTAACCCGAGTTTGAGTTTCACTTAAATTTAGCCTGACAGCTGGTTTAAGGACAGCAACATAGATTAGCTACAACATTAAAGGGTATCCAGCTTCAAGTATGGGAATGGCAGCAGCACAAAAATCCTGGGATGCTGAACTGCAACTTGAAGCTTAACAACTCTGGCACTGCTGTCTTGCACCTCAGATACAAAAGGGTGCAGGCAAGTCCTCCTACTTACTCAGCAAGGCTAAGGTTTTGTTTAGAAAATATTGTACTAACAGTAGTAATTTGAAACCTTGTAATTTAGACAATTGTAATAAAGATGAACACAGTATTACAGTAATTTCATCTAGGCTGCTGTTAAATCAGGTGGTAAAATACTTGTCACTTCAGTGTTTATGGTGTTGCAAGAAACTAAAATAGTAACTACTTTTTTAAAAGTAGCAAGCTTTTTAATTTGTAAGCATCTTGAAGCCCTCTTACTTCTATTTAATAATCTTTTGCTCAAATGATTTATTATACTTCCTGTAGGGATACTGATGATTCTTTGCAGTATCATCTGATGCTTTTAGGAAGTTTGAGAATGACACAAAAACTCATCTAATTTTCAGTTACAACAAGTTCGGGGCTGGTATTTGCTTGTAAAATCTCAACATTCAAATATTTAGCAGCCTCACTGAGTATTAGCAAGTGTTGCATACATCCATTTCTATGGTGACAGTACATGCCAGAGAAGAAACACAGACAACTTCAGTAGCTTTTTTATCCTCTTTTTTTTTTAATTAATAACTTCTTAGTTCAGGAAAAAAAATAAACCACAAAAGAGAACTGGAAGAACTACTCTCCACCTTCTTTATAAAAGAACTTTTCTCAAAGAGAGAGACTATATACCTTGTTCACCACTATATCAAATCCTATCATAATCACCTTACTTTCCACATCTATTCTACCACATTTCATGCTCAGCTTTCAAACATCTCTTATAAAGGAGGTGGGGATGTGCTTTAGACAGGTTAAAAATATGCTGCAACTTTAAAGTATTTAAACAGTTACACCAAGCATAGTTCATACATTTATCACATTAACTATCACCTGGTAACCATACATTTAAAAAGGTCTAATGTAGAGTATGTAATACCCATGACAGATACTCTTATTTACTTAAGAGCATATAAAGATCAGGATTTATTCACCCTCCCCATCTGCAAGTCAATTTCTGATCTCTTCCTGGTACAATATAAATGACAAAAAATCCCTTCATTCCATTGCACTACTGCAACCCTATATGCATAGAAAGGCAGATTAATTACCTGTGACAGGGAGAAGGAAGAGGGGTTTAGAAAAAGAATTTGAGGAACATCTACTGCACAGGTACTTTAGATGTTAAGCACATAAGTTCTGCTGTTTGGGTTTTTCCCCCCATTTTTTTTTCTTATGGTCACACAAGACACCCCTACACAAACATAACTTGAGTAAGTGCAAGTTACTCCTGACCAACAAAACAACTTCAGCACAAGAGGCCTGAACACCAGCACAGTGAGAAGGCTGTGCTGAAAGCCCATCTGGGGTGTGGGAGTGGTGAATGAGAATGTAAAGCACATTTCTGCATATAATGTGCAAAGGCTTGATCTCCACAACTGCACTCAATTTGCTACATGCACAGCCAGAGATGAAATGAGATCAAAACCAGCTGGGAATGGCTGTCCTGAGAAGATACAATAACCATTTAAAAATCTAAACATAAAATACAAATACAGAAGCAACAGAACATTGTTAATAATACCAAAAGACAGAAACACACTGTTGTTGTTAAAAGAAGTTTCAAGTAATATTCCAGATCCAATTTCAATCCTACTCACAGGAGAAAATGCCCAGAGATTAGGAAGAGAAGTCCACACCAAAGTGTATTTTTAATAGC